TTTTTTTTTTTGTTTGTTTTTTTCCCCAATTAATTTCTTTCGTTTTTTTTTAAGAAAAATAAGAAAAGAAAGCATACGGAAGTGGAGCAAGTGTCAGAAGACCAGAGCTCATCTGTCATACAAGAACATCCTATAAAAGCAAAGAAAGCCAGAAAAAAGCTTTCAAAATCAGAGACAAAACTGGCAAACAGGTGAGTAGATGATACTTTTTTATAGCAAGATTAAAACCCCCAACATCTAGATTAATCATCAAGATTATGAGTTTAGTGAAACCATAAAGTTCTCTTCTACTGTTCGAGGTTCAAACCTCACATTTAAGAAGGCTTTCTCTTCAGATGATTGTGAAAATTTTCTGTAGTTTGCTGCGGAAGGTAGTAATCACTTAATGGTCTCAAGCTGCTCCAGGGAAAGTTTATGTGGGAGATTGGGAAGAACTTTTTCACTGAAAGGGTTGTCAGGCGTTGGAACGTGCTGCCCGGGGTTGAGTGCTGCCCAGTGGTTGAGTTGCCGTCCCTGGATGTGTTTAAAAGACATGTAGATGTGGTGCTTGGGGACATGGCTTGCAGGAAGATTTGGTAGAGCAGGGTTAATGGTTGGATCTCGATGGGTCCCAAAGGATTGTTTGTTCTGAGTGTCTTGGATACTTGGAAGCAAGTACCTTTGCAAGGTGCAAAGATTGTTTTATTGTTTTTTTTTTTTTTTCTCTTCCATTTTAGAGAATATAAAATTATTTAATTGTGAATTCTTTCTTTATTACTCGTACTAAGTAGCAGATGCAACATCCCAGGAACAGCAAATAATTTTCAATGTTATGGAATGATTAGATATGTTTGTTTAATGCATAATAAGAAAGATAATGTTTGGAGTTTTGTGTTGACCATAGTAATTTCAAATATAAGTTAATTATCTTGGAGGCTGCAGTTCTTTGACCTCAAAAACTCTGTTTTCCTATCGGTTATAATGTCTTTATCTTTTTCTTGTAAGAGAGAGCGCTTTGGAGCAGGCAGATGAAGAGGAGAAGCAAAAGCATATTCAAAGCAAGGAGAAGCAAAAAAAGGCAGCTTCTCATGCCATGGCTAAAAGTGCTGTTAATTCAGGTACAGGCTCTGCTGTAAAACAGAAAAAGGAAAAAAAGGTGGCTGATGAAACCATAAACAGAAGAACAGTTTTTGTTGGAAACTTGCCTGTCAGCTGCACTGTTCAGGTACGTGAGTGGATTCTGTCAGCAGAAGGACAGAACAGAGTTACAACAGTCTGTAGTTTGAGGAGATGTTTCTAGCTGAGAAGTGACACATATTTGTGACTAAATTTGGTTTTGGGGAAAGCAGGAAATAATGCTCATTATCAGAAACCATTAGAGACAATCTGGTTTGATTCACCAGAGTTTGGCTTTTACAGCAGTTGATGCAGTTAGGCTTTCTTTAGTAGGATTGATTAGTTTCTTTTTCAATGAAAAATTATTTAATAAATGAGAACTGTAATTACAAAGTTAGTATGCTTCTAATTTTGAATGCAAATAATACTCAGATTACTGTGCAAAACACAGTAAATTTATGCTTTCTTCTGTAGTAAGGGTTACAGATTCAGTTTTGGCAATCTGTAGAATAAGCAGCTGCCACAAGAAACACAGAAACCGTTACAGATTACTTGAGTATTTTTAGTAGCCCTTTCACAGGTATTGTATAAATGAAATTAAAGTAGTGTAGAAACAGTCTTGCTTATATACGTACAATAGTTATTCTTACCACCAAGATGCAAAAGTGTTTTGAATATTTGTAATATCTTCTGTTTAGGAGCTGAAATCTCTTTTTAAAGAGTATGGACAAATAAAATCCATTCGATTCCGGTCTTTGGTATGTTATTTCCTCTTTTCTTTTTTTTTTTTTTTTTTTAACCTTAAAGGTTAGTATTCATAAGCCTTGTATCTCCATTTGTTCAGAACCAGGTCTGGGGGTATATTTTTTGCCACTAGAAGAAGCCTTGAGGATTTTACCACAGAGGCACCATGGGTGCATCTTTGCTTTCATCACATTTTACTCGTTCTGTAGAAGCAGTTGACAGTACCAAGGTTGCATTTTCTCTGGAAGGAGAATGCCTTTATTACTGCTCATTGAGCTTAGGTATTCCTTACCTGGTTTTAAGTCATAGTAGCAAAGCCACGTGGATTTTAAATCAGCATACGGTATAAAAGAGTTGAAGAAAACAGTCTTGGAGCTAAAGAAACATAACAGATTAAGCCAAAGTGAGCTATCTAATTCTGAGGACTTTCTAGATCATTTCTAGGAATAGCCACTTCCATCATTTGCTCGCTGTATGGGCTACATTGCTTTGTGTGGGAATGGTACCTGTTTGAAATCCTCTTTGTCTTCAAGAACAGATATTTGAGGTAAAGTTATGCTAGGCCTACTTAACTAAAGTTCTTTTTATCTTAAAGGTTCCAGCAGAAGATACTTTATCCAAAAAGTTAGGAGCAATAAAGTAGGTTCCTCTTGTGAATTTCACGCTTTTTTTTTAAAGGCAAAAATTTTTTTTAACTTTTGGTTGCTACATGATTGGCAATATTAATTTTCTTCTTCTGTTTCTTTGACTTTTGTAATTACCTCTGTGTGTGTGTGTCTAAGTTTTCTTGACAAGTGAAAAATAGTTAAGTGCCTGGTATACGAGTCATTTGTTATGTTAGGTTTTGTTTCTTATATTTTAGGAAGGAGGAAGATGCTAAATGGTCTTTGATTCCTTTGGATACATTTATGACCTGAGGAAGTTTGATCAGGGTGCACATACAGGCTGCATAAGGTGTGCAGTGAGACTGCCTTGGATGTGAGAGGATAGCTTGACTTGAAGAGAAATTGTTGTTACTGTGCATAAAACAAGAGGAGGCATCAGTGTGTTAACAAGAAGTGCTTGTGCCTTGCACACCATCAGGGCTAGTTAAATAACATGTGTCTTTCTCATGTTCCAGGCATAAGGTGCACCCTAATGCGAAGTTTGTTAATGCTTATATTGTATTTAAGGAAGAATGTGATGCCATTAAGGCTCTGAACAAGTAAGTCTATGTTTTGTTCCTCATTCCCTGTTTTAAGAGGTGGTTTTACAGATAGAAATTTAACCTACTTCCTACTTTTGTTTGAATAAATTATTTTTTTCAAACTTAAATTTGCTTTTGAAATAATGCTGTGCAAGGACATTGTAAATTAAGTGACACTAATTTAATTTCTAAAACTTTCTGCTTGTATCTTCAAAAGAAATGGAACAGAATTTGCTAGTGGATTTCACATCAGAGTTGACATTGCATCAAATACCAGTTCGGTAAGTAAGATATGTGACAAGAAAACTTTTTCTGGTTTTTGGTTTGTTGCCTGTAATACAATTTGCTGTCTCGTACCTCTTGTTTCTTTTAGCATGACAACAAACGATCTGTATTCTTGGGAAATCTCCCATATGGTAAGTCTAAAATGGGTTGTTATGCATCATTACTTTACATTTATGGAATATGTTGACATTAGGGGCTTTTATTTATTGGTATTTAGGGTAGCATGTTTAGGTTGCTAAATATCTTCTGCTGGAATGAGATAATTAAATAGTGGGTTTATTTTTCTAACCCAGCTACCAGGGTTGTAAGTTTCTGTCAGGTTCTGCAGGTTAATTGTAGCTACTACTGCAGAGGGTTTGAGTTCTTGTTGCTGCTTGATGTTTTTTTAAAAAAAATGTGACTAAACTGCGTAGCCATAGCATTCTAAACTGTTAAACATGTGGTGGCTTCTGGTTTCAATGCTGCCTGTGAGGCACGGGGCGAGTGACTCTGGAGGCAGCAGCTGGCAGTCAGCTGTTACCTGAGCAGAGGTGCTCACTGCTAGCCAAGGTCAGCACCCAGTGAATATCCAGCTGCTCCTGGGAAGACTGGAGAGCAGGTGAAGGGATCACCCATCAGGTGTGGTCTGCTTGAGGGTGTTGGTGGAGGCAGGATGCTTGGGGCGGTATGGATGCCTCAGTGCTCTGCAGAGCATGGAGCACGCCTGTGCAGAAACGAGCATGACCTGCACGTCTGTGGGTATGTCACACTTGTCTGCCCATGCGGGTGTGAGACTGAGAAAGCCTCACTCACACTTCAGGCCCTTGGCAGAGCAATGGTCGAGCAGCTGTGGCTGGACTCTGGTCAACCCATTCAAATAAAATTCATGGCTCACTCAGTGAGCATTAGGCTTCAAGAACTGCCAGCTCAAGCTCATTCTCAGCAGCATTCTTAGGAGATCGTGGCATAAGAGGGGATACATAAAGGCTAAAAAATGTAGCACAAATCTTAACTTCCACGATGTTCTAACCATAAATGAAATTGTTTAAAATTGTTTTTTTTCGGTCTTTGCCTTCTTTCTTTGTAATTTACGTTGTGCTCTTCAGAGCTCTAGACAATCACTAGCTGTCAAAAGTAAATAACCCTTTATAAAGTCTGCACTATTAACTTCCTGGAGTTTTTTTGAACCACTGATATTTGTGTACTTACGTGTCTTAATATATTTGTATATTAAGAGAGGTATATATATTTATGTACATGCTTGTGTATCTGAATGGGTAAGTGTAAGATGGGTGGATTTGGGCCAGGCCGCTAGCGCTGCGTGTGTGCGTGCCGGTTGCAGACGTCAGCGACGACGCGGTGCGGGAGCACTTTGCGGTGTGCGGCGCCATCGTGGCGGTGCGGCTCGTCAGGGACAGGAACACCGGCCTGGGCAAAGGCTTCGGCTACGTTCGCTTTGAGGTACGTGTGGCTGGCTCCATTTCTCTCTGACATGAAAGGGCAGCATTTGCTGTGTCAGTGAAAAGCAGCTTGGAAGACCAGTTGTGTGGAAGCGGGTACAAAGCAAACTGTTGTAGGTGGTGTACAAAGAAAAGTCGTTCAGCACAGGTGGCTTTCTCATGGCAGCCTCCTGGCCACATCTTCCTTAGGCTGTTCCCTGTGACTCAAGACCTTTTTCCCCCAGTTGCTCCTTTGGCTTTGTGCCCCTGTCCTTCACGTCTCATGTCGGCTGTTTTATCGCCCATTAACAAGTACCTGTGCCTTGATGTGTGGGCTACGTGGGTGTGCTGCACAGAGCAAGAGTGTTGGGTCATTCAATAAATGGAGCAGTTTGAGTCCTCCTTATTGTGAAACCTTGCTTACAAAAATTAAAGGCAGGCAACTGTTCATTTGAAAGCAATCAGCTGGAAGTAATGCTGCTTTTAAACCAAACTTCTGTTCTCATAGAATACAGATGCTGTGCATCTTGCTCTGAAACTCAACGGAAGTGAGCTGATGGGAAGAAGGATACGAGTGAAGCGCTGTGGGGAGAAGTTCAAAGCACCACAGAAAAGTCCTGGCCAGCCTCGTCCTCCTAAAGACAAAGTTGATTCCACCTTAAAAACCAAGAAGGGCTCTAATGATTCATTTGTTGGTGAAAAAGCAATCCCGCTGAAGAAGAGCGCTAAACCAAAAAGAGTGAAAACTGTCCCTAGGAATAAAGCCAGTGGAAAAAAACACTCTTTTGATAAAAATAAAAATTTTAAGTGTTAACTATTGCTATAAAGATTGCTGCATAAAAGACTGTTCTAAGTGGATTTTGTTTGTGGACGCAGCTGTAGTTGCTCCTAGTGTTCCCTCTGGGGCTTTTGGCTCCTGGGCAGAGGTGGTTTGAGGTGGTGACGGCTGCGGGATTTTGTTGCCAGT